GCATCGACCATTCAAGCCTTGGTCAGATGTTGCAATCATTTTCCCTCTTGATCCTTAAAACTCCCAAGCTGTTTGGAACATGTGTCGAGGGCCCTCCTCGACGTTCCAACGAGCCCAAACACACAAGAAATATCGCAAGCAAGGACGCAGCTACTACGCGGCAGAGATGGCCATTGGGGCCGGAGAGCTAGCAGGAACGCTGCCGGGCGCGCTCCGCATCTCGACGTCGGCGCCGCTGTTGACGGCACTATTGGCGTCGCTTTTAATCTGATCATTCTCCTTGTTCTCCTTGGTGCTGCTGTCGGCTGAGGCGGCGGCAGAGTCCTCAGTGGTGGGCTCGGGCACGAACTTGGGCGGCGCGGTCCATCGAGGAACCTCCCAGACGATACCTGTGAAGCTCTTGAGGACGAAACCACCCCTCGCCCATTTGCGGCAGGGTTTGCCGCTTCGGTCGAGAGCTCGAAGGCCGGCGTTGATGGCACCTTGGTTGGCCTTGGGACCCAGCTTATGTCCAGCAGCGCCACCACGGGCATTCGGATCGATGGTTCCATCCTCACTACATGATATCATTAGCAAGGAGTCAACGTAGGCAGCGGGCAAAATGGGTATACGCACAGTCTCGCCTTCTTCTTGGGGCCAGGCTTGCCGCGGACCTTGGGCTGTCCATCAGGGCCGAGACCATTGGCAGCACCAGCACCACGCTTGGTACCCTTCTTCTTGACTCCCTCGGTAGGAGGACCCATGGATGTAGGTGCTGGAGTTCCATCGCCAGCGGGCGTGCCGGGATTTGAGTCGGACGCCGTCTCGCCATTTGCGATGGCAGGAGCTGCCAAGGTGGCCGATGTGGCGGGAGAATCTTGCGCTTCTTGAGTCTCCTTGTTTCCATTCGTCTCCTCAACATCCATCTTGACGGGGGAGTCTTCCTTTACATAATCGGGATCAAGGGTCCGCTTCAATTTATCGGCGTCGACAGTCAGGGTGATAACGAGGCCGCCCTTGCCTCCATTGGACTTGCGTCGACTGACGGATGCGGTAGGTGCCATTTCGAGATGGATTCGGGCGTGTTGTGTGATGATGTATTGGGTGGTGAGGGCGAGGTTTGGTCCAGGGCGGAAAGAATGGGTGAAGAGTTGGAAGATTGGCGGCGCGGCGTCAGGAAGCTTAGTAGGTAGTAAAGGCTTTGTCGGAGATAGCTGCTTTGATGGATGGGGTGGCGGACGGGCCGGGGATCCAATGGGCCACGAGTTGTGATCTGGTGGGTAAAGGACTGGGCAAGGTTTTGGGCGGTGGTGCGTGTTGGGTTGGTTTTGGTGGTGAGCTGTAGCGGTGCGGGTTCAGGTTCTCCTGGGTGCGGTGCGGTGCGATCTGTCTCTCTCGTGGGTGGCAGATTATTTCGCGTCGGCGACTCGCACAGTCGACGGCGATGCGAGGCAAGGCGGTGATGGCGATGGGGGTTTGGCGATGGATGGAACGGGAGGGTGGAAGGGTTGATGAGAAGGGGGACAGAGAGAATTTTTATTTTATGGGGGAATCCATCTGGTAAGTTTGGCGTCTCATTTTCGAGAGAGCGCCAGAGCAGGCGGCGTGACAATAAACGGTTCTCATGCTGCCTGGGTTGGGTGCGCGGTGGTGCTGGGTGCGTGGTGCGTGGTGCTGGGCTCCCGTTTCTCTCTCACCCGCGCTCAAGAATTGACCTCCAGCTTTCGCTTCCTCTCGCGCACCTGCCACCAGCGCCGCAGTTGTGGGTAAGCGAAAGGAAGACCCGACCAGTAATCTGGGGGGGCCGTGACCGGAAAGGGATGCACGGGTGGATTTTTCTCCCCCTTCCAGAAGTACAAAGGTACATACCATACATCGGGGCACGCAGGATGTATACATCCATCCATCCAAGATCTCACCCAAGGTGAGGTCCCTCAGAATCCAAGGGAAGCCGCAAGGTAAAGTTTCGTTCGTCCTCGCCATCCAAGGATCTTGGGCCTTTGTGACCTAATCATGGTTCATGGTCCAAGTACCTAGTTACTATTTTACGTGCAGCTGTCTGGGACTCTGGGCATCCTACCTACCTACGTTAAGGTACCTTAAGGAGTACGGAATATCCAAGCACAAACTTGAAGTGAACACTCATGGAAGGGTAACAAGGCAAGATACGTACCCCGGCACCCTCCGTCCGTCGGCCGGGGGCCATCCACGCACCGCGCTCCCTCACATCAATCAATCCCGACACCAGGGCCACCAAAAACGTGGACTTTCCGTGCTTGCACTGGCTTACCTAGTAGGTGGTTTGACGATGCGTGTGGAAGGCATGCCGGGCTATCTGTCTTGCTGCATTTTGCACCAATTTCTTTGATTGTGCCCTTCCAAGTGCCCCTTTCCCCCATTTCGCCATCTGACCTCCCGTCACCTCAGGCTTCAGAAGGACGTTCGGGATGAGAATGGAAGCTCACCTCAGTAATATCCACTCCAGACACACACATGCACACGCACACACCCACCACACCTTCCTTCCTTCCCCCTCTTCCCCCCTTATTGCCTTCATCTCTTCTCGTCACGACCGTCCGTAATGATTCCCGTCCTTTCCCCGGCCCAGTCCTTGACTTTCCCTCACGTTCTGCGCATCTCCGTGCCTCAGGCGGACGTCCATCATCTATCCCCATCCTCCCAACCATTCATCCCGACTCCTTCAATTGCCAGGCCAAAGGCGAAACACTTGACTTTCACAGCTCGCGACAAGGTCCAGCAGTCTATTACCCATTTAGGCAACGCTTGACTCGAAGATTGACGATAGAACGCTACCTTTGCATCTCTCCACACAATACGTTCCCAGTATTTCACCAACTGATGATCCATGACCCTTTCAGACTTTATGTACTATCGCAGATTATTTCCCTCAGCCTTCAGCTCCATGACACAATCAGCCCGCCTTGGTCGCTGGGCATTCGGCACATTATCTCATCCCGCTCATGAGCGATAGATGCATCCTGCACCACGCTTCCAGCACATTTCATCTTCCGACCTTTCCCGCGCGGTACTATTATTTTTAGACCAATTGAGAAGGCTGCCAAAGACTGCGATTGCGAATTTGTGCGAAAACGCCATGCAAAAATAATCACTGCGGGATCTACGGGTTGTCCGTACTGGCGGTGGCACGAATGGGTCGGCGAGCGAGGATCAAGGCGATAGAAATTCAAGTCTCAAACTAACAAATCCTCATCAGATCCGATGGGCCCTGGTCTGCGCTTGGCTGGCGCACTACGTACGATACTTGTCCAGGTCGGCCCAGAACTCTGAATTGGTGATGGCGACCTGCAGGCTTCCGGCCGAGCCTGGAATCCCCTTGGATCCCTCGTTGGGGCTCGAACCTTAGTCACCCTGGCATCTCTCTTGTCATCATTTCGCCTTCCAGAAGCAATCCGTGTCCGCCGCATCAGAAGACCATGGACGCTGATGAACAGTTTTGAGCAAACGAGGTGACGAGCTGCGTATTCTACTTTATCAACACCAGTAGTCATGATAGCATGTGCCTGATGCCATTGCACTGCATGCGCTGTGAGGAAAGGTCCAGCAGAACGACTGCCAGGCCGATCCGGGATGGGCACCTTGCGACCACCGATTGCCTGCACCACAACCAAATTGGATCCTCTACGGGCTTTGATAAGAAGGGTTGATTGCTGGAGGCACCTCCCAACCAGCCTTCCTCATTTCGACACTAGATAGGTCACGAACGAGGGCATTTCACGTCCCACGATGCACTTAGACGGACCGTTTAGTTTAAGGTTCTTCTGGCATCATGAATTTTCAGCGACAAAGATATAAGTATGCGTATTAGTACTCAGCCTCTCGACCAACTGCGTCCGAGAGAACCTCGTGAGACTGGACCTTGGGAAGCCCTAATAATTGAAAAAAGGGGGGCCAGCGAGAACTTCCGCGTCTGCCATGGCCTCACTTCCCTGTCAAATGGGTTCGAAAAAATGCTTCCAACCCCAACTTCAATCCCGCATGGCGAGAGCCAATCGTGCTTCGAGATCCCAAACAACCCATCCCAAGACCAGCAGAAGTGGAAGGCCGGGTGGTGCAAGCCTGAATGGAAATGAGGTCAGAGCTCAGCTCCGATCAACCTGTACAAAAACGTACAATGCCACACGAGTGAAGGAAGAAAGGCTCCCCCGTTTCACAGCACGCCGAACCTGGTCATCGCCAGTCCAATGACGCTTCTCCAACGAAGTACCATTCAACCGGCGTGTTTCTAGCCTTCAACCACCTGGCAAGCTGTTGGTGGAAAGCATCTGGTGCCAGCAGATACCTGAGAAAGGCAAGAAAGTCAACCCGTACGATGAAGTAGATTGCGTCGTTTCATCAGATCCGTGCAGCCGCTATTGACTATCATCAACGGCACCCCCCAAGGCCAAGATTTATGCGGTCTCAACTGCCTTCTCAGGATGATTGAGCTGCTCCGGGTGCCGAGTGTCGCCCGATAGCGGATCATCGCCACTGACAGGAAGCGGAACCTGCATCGTCACTATTCCAAAGCCAAGTTTGTGCGTGCATCCTCGAATTCAATACCGCGCGTGCAGCGCTCCACAACCAGGAGAACATCTTCCGGCGGCGGCACATTCGTCACCACGGCCAGTCTAGCCGTGCGATTGTCTCCTCGTCCCGATCAACCATCGCCGCCGCAAGCCACGGAAAAGACCAAAGAAGGGGATAGTGACCCAAATTATGGATTGTCCGATTTGCAAATTGCCTACTTTAGTATTGGACGTCGATTCTTGGAAAGACACAAGCGTTGTTTCCCCTTACTCACGGCCGCCGTTGATCCGTCAATGACCGAGGGACGATTTACCTTTGGAATGCATATGCATCAGCGACCATCGAACGGTCTCTGGAATGCGTTGCCATGTTTACACTACGTGCGACGCCACCTTGCTATATCATGAGCTCGAAAAGTCTCGAGACCTTGTTTGAGAGAGAAACCATCTCCTACTCACCTTAAACATTCCAAGATGCATCTTATCAGCAAAATTCTTTATGTCTGCGTCGCTTTACACGTCGCCTTTCAGGGCGCGTCCGGCGCAATTCTCCGGGGACGAACCAGCGATGCCGATTCTAACCAGCTTTCAGCAAGTGATTTTCAAACTCTGAGCCAGGCCGCGGAGGATCTGAACAGTCAGCTGGACAACTTTTTGAGAAACTGGAGCGGTGGTCACCGTAAACCCGAAACCGAGGAAACCACAACCATTGTCAAGCGGCAAACCAGTGGCCTCTCGATATCTGCGCAAGACCTTCAAGATCTTTTGAAGCTCATCCAGTCCATCGAGCGGCAGTTGGCGGCGATCATCTCTGGCAGCACCACGGCAAGCGGGACGGTGGCACCGGCTCCGTCAAACACTGTCAACAACCCTGGGCCGGTTGCTTCTTCGTCACCTGCCAATCCAGGTGTAAGTTCTCCTACCCCCAACCCCGTTCTAACGAACACAGGAAATGGCGGGCCGCTCACCACGGCATACGGGACGTCCGTCTCGACCGGGACGAGATGCGTAACGACCATCACTCAGACCTTTACCGAGTATGTCAATGAGGACGGAACGACAGCCGTGCCTGGGGCTCGCCGATCAGTCGTGGACGACGTCGAGGTGGATGCCGAAGAGGACGATGAGCCTTGGGTAACTGCCACCGTACCTCGGGACACTGAAGAAGACGATGAGTGGGAGCCCTGGGTCCAGTTCGACGGGACTACCACCGAGGATGACGAGTCCGATGTGGGCTTCACGACGCGCGATTCCTGGACGGAGCTGGGTGTTAAGCGTCGTGATCCGCTGGGGGAGACCAGTGGCCCTGGGCTCCTCTTCGTTCGCGACGAGGAGGGAATTTGACGGCGTCGCATGGCGTCGAAAGGTAGGCTTGGTCACTCAAGTGCGAAGATCGACTTGGCTCACAGTTCACAGTACATGATGATTGAGAGACCGTCCACGGACGACGTTGAGAATGGGCAACGACACATTATGATGGACGAATTTCGGATAATGATTTCCACGACTTATTTACGACATTCATTTGGCATGAGAAGCACGAAAGCATGAGAAACATTTGGACGGAGAAGAATGCAAGTAGAGATAAACATGTACGCTGTTTTTCGGCATCTCAACTACCAGAACGGCAACGGCTGGGAAATTCTTGAATCGGGTTTTGTGTATCGTACCGTACCTTCAACAGGCGGCGGGCACACTGGATGAAATTACTATGAAATGATTAGACGGGCACACTCCTTTCAATGCAACGCTACGACTTAAAATCCCCTTATCTTAACAATTATCAGTCTCGTTTGTGTGTGAAACCTGTTAGCGTCTCAGCGCAGTTCAGTCGAAGGGGGGAAAAAAGAGTCCGGGTCCGTGTGCCAAGAGGCCGGAACGGTTCCGGCCACGCCGGCAATAATCGGCCAATAAGTGGGGCTAGAGAAAGTCAATACTCAACCACCGCTCCAGTCCCCAGCGCGCCTGCACCGGACCTAAACTCGGCATCTCCAACAACAACGACGCCGATAAAAAGTTTGACCTCACGAAAAAGGAAAGGAATGCATGTAAGGTCATCAGGGTGTGATACACGATGTGGGCAGGATCAAGGGTATGTGAACCAGTTAGGTGCAGCGGTATTGTGCTTATCATGGAGTGCAAGGGCTTGGCCAGCATGAAAGAGACGAAGATGGTGGGAGCGAATCTCGGGTCTGGGCTATCTTGATGACCCCGTGTGACCAGAGATTAGGATGATATGACAAACAGAAATAAGGGAACGGACTGGACGGGACGGACGAGACGGACGGGTGTGGAGAGAAAGAGGGATTCGTGTCATGGCCGGAGGTGCAACCCCCTCACTTGAGGCCGGAATCGATTCCGGCCACGAACTATATACACGGCGCCGAGCGGCGGCAGGTCAACGAAACAAACTTGCACTCCAACTCATTCAGCACTCTTGCATTGAGAAGCAACTGAGAAAGCTTGACTGGAAATCATTTGGCATTTTTTGCGAATTTTCCACACATTTTTACATACCCATCTCACTTACACGCGTCTTGGTGAAGCTCATCTTGAGTTCGACTTACACCAACCCAAATCCCAATCATTTCCCACTTGCCCAAACATCCATCCCACACTTGCACACACATAACCACACCATCATCACTTCGTAACCCACATCCACCAACCCGCACTTACACACATCTCCCCCAACCCATCCCATCCAAACCCACACACACCTACACACCCCTATCTATCCCCGCGTTTTCAATCAACCTTATCCATCACAATGGGCTCAATCGACTCCACCCCCTTCCCCGTCCTCGACGACCCCCGCGCCTCCGACACCTCCCTCCCGGCCTTCATGGTCTCCACCACCCGCGGCTTCCTCCCCCGCGCCGATCCCGTCGCCGTCCTGCCCGCCGAGTTTGCGCCCCTAGAGGACATTCTCGCGCGTATGCCGGTCAAGAAGCTCGACGGCACACCGGGTCTCCTGGCCTCCTCCAAGCTCGGCGAGACCGTCGACACGGAGTTCCCGGACCTGACGGACGCTATTGACCAGTACAAGGAGAACTTGCCGCTCATGAACGCGCTGTACCGCGACTACTCGTTCCTCGCGTCCGCCTACCTGCTCGAGCCGTGCCACGAGCGGTTCGTCCGCGGCGAAGGGTACGGGCTCGCGAGGGATGTGTTGCCCAGGAACATTTCGATGCCCATTGCCCGCTGCGCTGAACTGTAAGTCTTCTCTCCCACACCATTGTAGTATCCCGCATCTGACATCCGTCATAAAGCACCGGCTTCAAGCCATGGATGGAATACGCAGGCTCCTACGCCCTCTACAACTACCGCCTCGAGGACCCCTCAAAGGGCATGGAGTACTCCAACATCCGCCTCATCCGCGCCTTCGAGCACGGCCTGGACCCGACCTCCTCCGAGGCAGGCTTCGTTCTCGTCCACATCGACATGGTCAAGAACACGGGGCCCCTCGTAAAGGGCACAATGGCCGCCCTCCGCTCCTCCGTGCCCACCACCTCCCCCGCCCCCTCTCTGGACCGCGCCGCCCTCAACCAGGGTCTGTCCGAGGTCCTCGCCGCCCTCCGCAAGATCAACAACACAATGGAGGCCATGTGGGACAAGTCCCGCCCGCAGAGCTACACCAGCTTCCGCACCTTCATCTTCGGCATCACCAGCCAATCCATGTTCCCCAACGGCGTCGTCTACGAGGGCGTAAACGACGGCAAGCCCATGTCTTTCCGCGGCGAGTCGGGTGCCAACGACTCCATCGTACCCCTCATGGACAATTTGTTGCAGGTGCCCATGCCCGACACCCCGCTCACCGAGATCCTCAAGGACTTCAGGTCCTACCGCCCCAGCAACCACCGCCAGTTCCTCATGCACGTCAAAGACCGCTCCCTCGAGGTCGGCCTCAAGGACGCCGCGCTCTCCGCCAAGCTCTCCGCCGACGGCCTAGGTGCCGAGGAGAAGGAGGCCGTCAAGGAGTCCCGCCGCCTGTGGCTGCATATTCTGCACCAGGTGCGCGACTTCCGCTGGCGGCACTGGTGCTTCGCGCGCGAGTACATCCTCAAGCGCACGTCGCACCCGACGGCCACGGGCGGCAGTCCCATCGTCACGTGGTTGCCGAACCAGCTCGAGGCGATTTTGGTGGAGATGGAGGATCTGTACGGGGCTGTTGGCGGTGCCAAGGGGGAGTGGGATTTGGGCGAGGAGATGAGGGATGTGATGGACCTTGTTGCGCGGCAGAAGACGACGCTGAGGAAGGAGGTTGCCAAGTATTGTGCTGAGAGGGGGGTGAACACCGTTCTGCAGGCGGATTCTTGATGGGTGGGTGGTGGTGTGGTGATTGGTGTGAGAGGGGGGAGAGGGGGGAGAGGGGGGTGGTAGACAAAGGGAGTGATGATAAGCTGCGGGCGCAAGGACATGGTAGAGAGAGGCGGTGCGATATTGGCTCGTCTCTCCGGAAGCATATACAATTTCAAGTAACAAAAATTCTATTATTTTAAATTCTTTAACTGCCTGCCCGCTATCGTCATTCTGTCATTTAAATGCGACTCCAGGGGGCGCAAGACAAACAAATCGTAAAATCTCGTCATTTGTTCAACGCCGCGTCCATGCTCTTCCTCCACTCAGGAGCCTTCTTCCTAAGGGTCCAGACACAGATATAGCCCGACACCCAGGCAAAGATACCCAGTATCGTGAAGAGCCACCCGTTGCCGATGGCGTTAATCACGGGCTGCGCGGCAATCGCACCAATGCAACTGAAAATGTTTCTGACAAAATTGTTCACCGCCACGCCTCCCGAGCTGCGTTTGGGCATGAATTCGGTTAGCATGGTCGTGGCGGCGCCACTGGTGGTTGAATGTTAGCCTGAGCCGGATGAGATAAGATGGAGAAAAGTTAAAAGAACCAGATATCATTGGTGAGAGATAGAAGGAAGAACAAGAAAAGGACTTACAACACGAGCATCGAGCTGGCGCCGAATGTAAACAGACCGATACACGGCACAAACCAAAATAGGCCCTTTTCCACCACCCAGCCGTAGTAGATGAGCGAAGCCGGGTACACCGTCGCCGCGATCCAGATGTTCTCGCGCATCCTGTCCTCCGGCAGCAGGATCAATTTCCCGTCGGCGTCGTACCGCCCCGCCTTACGGGCCTCCCTCGCCATGATGACGTCGAGCCAGCGGCCTCCCAGGAGGGAGGCGAGGAAGTAGCCCAGGCCGGCGGGGAAGTAAAAGAGGCCGATGATGAGCTCGCTGAAGCCGTAGGGGGCTTGGGACAGCGTGGCCTGGACCGAGATGTTTACGACAAAGAGGGCGCCGAAGGTGACGGCGGCGAACCAGACTGTTATGGCGACGGGCGGGAAGCGGAGGTACAAGAGGACGGAGAGGGGATCGATGAAGGACTTTTTGAAGAAGGCGGCTGCTTTTTTGGAGTGGACTTTTACGGATTCCGTTGTTTTCGTTCGGGCGAGGGCATTCTTTTCGGTGCCTTCTGATGCGAGTTGAGACTGTGATGCCACGACGGCGGCAGCAGGTCTGGGGCGCGCGAGGGTCTCGGGCAGACAGAACAGGATCATGACGAGGACGAGCCCGCCGTAGATGGCGAGCGTCCACATGGTCGACTGCCACCCGAACCGCTGCGCCAGCGCGCCGCCGATAATGGGCGCGAGCAAGGGGCCCGTGAGGGGCCCGAGGTAGAAGATGCTCATGGCCCGGCCGCGCTCGCGCGGCTCCCAGATGTCGGCGATGGTTCCCGCGCCGACGGCCTGGACGCTGGCGCTGGCGCCGCCGGCGAGGAGGCGCATGACGATGAGCATCTCAATGTTCACGCTGACGGCGGAGAGGATGGAGAAGAGGACGAAGAGGGTGAAGGAGAGGAGGTAGATTGTGCGGCGGCCGAGGGTCTCGGAGAAGGAGGACCACCAGAGGGGGAAGATTGCCATGGCGAGCATGTAGAATGCTACCGAGAGGTTGGTGATTGTGGGGGTGACGCCGAATTCTTTAGACATTTCGGTGAGGGCGGCTTTCGTTTGTGAGTATACCTGAGATTGAAAGGTAAGATACATGAAAGGTAGTACTCACGATAAAAGATGGATGAGCCCATGGGTGATACGGCCGCGGCGAGGGCGATGATCAAGGTGATTGTCCATTTCGTCTTGTTGGTGTAATGATACGGGTTATCCACTTCCGGGATGGTAGTGAGCTGTGCGAGAAACCCGCGCCGTTTCGACCGGGCAACGATGGAAAGGGCTCGGGAGCGGGTGGACGAGGCCCGGGACCGCGTTCTCGCCGGGGCGTTGCCGGCTGCTGATGGGTCCCCATCCTCTCCCTCCACCTCCCCGTC